AGAGTCAAAAATCCCGTGAAATACTAAACACTAAACACCTTAATACGCACTAATTGCAATGTTTTCTTTTGCGTCTATTTGATTATCACACTTTGATAGTCAAGTTTTGGTTCACGGGTTTACAAATTTACTCCAACCCGCGAAATACACTTTATTGCATTACTATTTAGAGTGGTTTTCATTAAGCCGTGAACACAAAGTGTAATAATTAGGGTGTAATAGATCGTAATAGTCGCGTAGAGACAATAAAAAACAAAAGAGGCAAAGTGTAATAGCGATAAATACGCTAAATAAAAGTGTGTTTCACGRGTAATGAAAACCACTCTATCACTCCTTAGTTTGCACGTTTTGTCTTGTATCACACATTATTACACTTGGCTACTATAACTTGTTTCACGGGTTTATGAAAASCACTCTATTGATGAAAAAAAAAGCCAAAAAAGAAAGAATATGAAAAAAACCTAAGAAGTAAAACAAAAACAGGAACATAAAAGGAAAGGAAAAACAAGAACATAAAAACACTGAAGATTGGCATCAATGACTGAACTGCTTTCGCCTTCAATCTATGGACGTTGAAGAGTTTTCCGTCRAGCTTKCATKTGATGCTCATGTCGAAAGCTGGCGAGCTCTCCMGCGGCAAACAAMAACGACGAAGGCRTCGTAAGCAATGAGTYACAGAGTATATCCGACCMTTTAATATACGARACACCACCGCCCCAGACCGCACGGCCTGGAGGTCCTCACTCAGATATGGCAACAAAATTTGCAAAGAATRCCCTTCATCATCTCCACGGGGACCATAATGAATGAATGACAACGAAAACAACAAGAAAAGACGAGATTTTTTWAAATAATTTATCTATGACCATTATGTGGCTTTTTGTGATCACTCTTCTAATGTTCAGCTTACCCTATTAATGCGAAGGCAATAAACTCTTCAACATCGAAGGGGAAGTCAATCCTGAAGTTAGTTTTGAACAACGCAGTGATGGTTTCTGGAAAAAAACACAGCTCATTCAGACTAAAAAGGGGGGAAAAAGTAACAAAAATGAAAGAATCAAAAACTACAGGAAAGCCTAGTGAGCACGTAATCACCGCATTTATGTGATAATCGCCATGTTACAATTGTTGTACAAAAGTCTCCTTCACGGTTCACCGCGCCATCTTGAAAGGTAGCCTGTACCTTACATCGAAGCGAGACAACCGTTGAGCGTGCAATGATAGATTAATTGTTTGTAGGTGTGAAAGAAGGTTTCTATCATTGCACGGTCAACGGTTGTCTCGCTTCGATGCAAAGGCACGGCTACTTATTCAAGATGGCGCAGGGAACCGTGAAGGAGACTATTGTTGTACAAAAGTCTCCTTCACGGTTCACCGCGCCATCTTGAAAGGTAGCCGTGCCTTTGCATCGAAGCGAGACGACCGTTGGAGGGAAATGATAGATTAATTGTTTGTAGGTGTGAAAGAAGGTTTCTATCATTGCACGCTCAACGGTCGTCAAGATGGATAATAACAAAATGATTGCAATTCCCAAAGCCTTACTTTCCTTAAATACTACGCGACTGGAACACAMAAAAAAAMCCTAGCAAATAGACAAACCTTCGTCGTTGTCGAAGACTGACAACAATCTGAAGACAAAAGCACCACAAACAGCAGCATAGAAACCCCTCCAGTAGTTACGCACCGCAAAATATGTTGCTGTTACCTCAATGCTGAATARGACACCTATAAGATAGATAACACATACTGTGTTTATACACAGTAGACCATATTGTCATATAAAGGATCTTGGGCTGAATATGTCAAAATTAGACCACGAGGTCGAGTGGACTAATCAACCCGTAGTTCACAAGACCGCAAAACAATGAGGCTCTTTTCACTTAATTCGATAAGACCACGGTATATTAAAAATATACTATAGTTCAGTAGCCAATCAGAATGCTGGATTTGTGATAGTCCATAGTTTAGTGGATAATAATATTACGATATCATTATAGAATTTTGCAGTTGATCAGCCAACCAATCACTCAATCAAACGGATAATAAACAAGATAGTCATTAACTAAAGTCAATAACCAAACCATTCAATCAACCAATAAGCAATGTACATCGACGCCATTTGTACAACAAAGTATGATGTGAAAAGTAGTCATAGCCCCGAAGAAATCTCTCTAAAATATATATGTTGTTTTCTTAGTAGAAACAGGACAACTACGTCTATGTTTTCAAAGAAAAACAAAAACACCTCAGGAGGACTGTTTTATCGGATCTTAAGGAAATACACAAGAAAATAACTCCCATTGTCGCACAAAATACTGCCGAGCAAATTAGCATGCCTAGCGGCCAGAGGTGGACTGGGCTCGCCCCTCCCAAGTCCCCTTAGGGCCGCTATGCATGCTTCTGCAAATTGCCTATTGATAGTTCACTGATATTGATAACATACCACCAATAGGKGAGCCAAAACAGCTAGATACACCAACAGCACAAGCTGCTGCAAGCATCTCTGTGTTACGAGATTCATTCTACAGAACAATAAGAAAATATTGGTAACAACATGGTACAATAATTGGTATAACAATCAAGAGTATGGTATAATAATCAAGAGTATATAACGCAAATTACATTGTGCTACAGTGCTATAAGTCACTGTTCTAATAGAATACTGTAAACATATTCAGTGTTTTTGCTAAATAAATTATACATTTGCCAGCATTGGACATTGTCATTCTTCGAGCTTAACCATACAGGTCTTCTCAACTATATATGATATATGTAAATAAGACCAATTGCACGACATCTTTAAGGGCCATGGTGAGCCAGCATCACTTCTGAAYATTTTTCGCTTTTTATATGTTAAATAAATTGTAATATAAGCAAAAACCTACTCTTTATTTTCCTTAGTATGCTCTATGAATGGAGATATTGTAAGATCCGACGGATGGATGGGAATAGATTGTAAAATGGATATTTGAAGTCACCTTATTTTCCTCATATGAAAAATCTAAAACCCAACAATGTTAAACCCCATGCTYTTTATGCCACGTTTTACCACAGGAAGCCCATGTAACTAATTATTCTGCACACAAATGTGTAAGTTATAGATGTAATTTATTATACTTACAGTAAATATCCCTTTAAAAGAACCCACAAATTTCCCCATTGATCTTGCAACCATGCTAGCAATGTGCACAAATGGCCCCTACACAAATCATTCGTACACAAGGAGAATGTTTCAAAAAACCCTTTTATTAGTTTTTGTATTTATTTTTGTGTTTTCTGAATATTTAGTCTGTTTTTATTTAATTTGTTATTATATTATATTATTCTTTAATTAATCTTTTATAATTGTTCAGTGTTCAAAGTACCCTATATACATGTAAATAAACTATTTAACAATTAGACCTCGAGGTCGAGTGGACTACGAGCCAATAGCCCATGAGGCCAAGTCCACGAGGCCAAATGGGCTATTAGCTCGTAGTCCACGAGGCCAAAAGGTCTAATTGTTTTAGCATAAACATACTAATCAGTCAAATAATGAAAACAAACTGAAATATCCTTAAAATAATTTATAATTTATTTATTTTGATTTTCCCGCGTGTGGTCACAAATTAGACTATTAGTAGAGTAGCCAATCACAGCGCAGTATGAGTGATAGACCATTAGTATGTTTATACTAATATTATTTGTCATTGTTATTATGTGAGTAGCATACATTACCCTGGTTCCAGAGTTTTCTCTGTGTAAAATATCTCTGTTCTTTGACGCAAAGCGGCAACATCAAACACAGAGATATTTTACCCAGAGAAACCTCTGGAACCAGGTTAAGCATACATGTACGGAAACAAAGAATAGAAAGGACACAATGAATCGAGATATGGTTACAATTATCTTAGTGTAGAAAAAAAAAGGTTTTAAAAAGAAATGGAATGGGAAGGAATCAAAAAAGGAAGTAGAAGAAAGGTGTTGAATGTGAAATAGATGAAATTTGAAAGGGAAGAAAAAGGTGAGAAAAGAGGAGAGGAAGAACTACAATGAGAAACAAGTGGAGACGAATTGGGAAGTAGAGAGATATATAGTAGGGAGAAGGCAGAAAGAAATGGAAAATGGATGGAGTAAGAAAGAAAGAAAGAAATGTGGTGTGGCTGAAGGGATTGTCTGAGAAAAAAAGAGAAAAATCGGAATGTGATTGAGGGAACGGTGGGAAGTCAGCACATAACCAAACCATGTGAAATAAAATGACTAGTAAAGAACACTTATRCTGTAATAATATCGTAATAGAATTGCTGTAGAGACCTTACCTCCTTACCAATGGGAATACCACTACCAAGTGCAGTCAATAGCCCAACCTACAAAACAATACCAACATGCATTTCCTTAAAACTTATGCTGTCACACAATATTTTAAAAACAAATTAGAKTTGATATTTATTTTTCTTGAT